ATATCATAACAAAAACTCCCGCAGTTGATGAGTATTTTGATATATTATTTAATTTTCTAGACAAAATACATTTTGAGATATTCGACTTTAAAATGTTGTAGTCCAATAAAAAACACCCTATATTTACAAAAATTAACATTTTTCAATTACAAACTGTATGTAACCATATTTAAACAAAACCATTGTCTTCCCGGTCCTATTGTCCACATATTTATCACATTTGGCCAAAACATTAGAAAACAATTCATCCAATTTATCACGTTTAGAGTCGCTATAATTGTTTAACAGGGATTGTTTCAAACCATCGATGCCTAATAAATAAAAAACTACAATTAATACAAATACAACTTAACTAATTAGAACTAATTAGCGTTAATAAAGCAAGCTCAAATACTTTTAGTAAAAGCATCCAGTTCGTAACGATTATCACGGAGGCAAAACTCTTTGGACAACACATTCAAACCTCTAGACCGGAACAGATTGAGCCATACATTCATCTCGGTATCCGTTTCAACCGTATTTCCCGTCAAATTCATATAGAGATCTGCATTATAGCCGATATTGGCGTAGAGGCGGCCATTTGGGCGCAAAAGTCTACCGATATTTGTGACCACATTTGACTTATCGGGTATTAAATGGAGGCAATGGTTGGTAAATACTAGAGTCACGCTGTCCTCCATAGCCCGTACAGTGGCCGACAACGAGTCCCACTCGACACCAAAGTCTTGGGTTACGTATCGGATATTAGGGTTGCGATTAGTGGAGGTCTGCGCGAACCCAATCATACCCGGATCGACATCGAGAGCGGTGATTGGCCGGCCATTCACGGCCCGAGACAGCTCTCGGGTGACGTTTCCGGTGCCGCACCCGATGTCTATTATCTGCTCGTAGTCTCTGTGAAAATGTTTTGAGTTATAGATTAATAAGTTTTTACGGATTTAATTAATTTTTGTTTCTTATTTTGTAATTACTTATCACTAGTTTCGGCAACAATTTTCCCGATTAGTTCATTCCCGTCCCGAATTTGGGACTCATTTGATTTGTTGTATTCATTGGCGTCGATATTCATTATTTCCTATCTATGACAATATGTTTAATTAGTTTTTTAATGTGCATTAAAGTGTATTTATTAATTTGCATTACTTACTACATGGTAGTTATTGGCATATGTACTCGTATAGTTAACTTACCTACATAGTCGAAATTTGAAGCTTGTTATTTAAAAGTTTGCTAAAACTCACCTGTTGTAAGTTTGCGTGAAAAGTTTGAAAAGTTACACATACTCAATTTTTTGTAACAACAAAACTGGTGACATCAAATTTTGTTGCAATTCTATCAACATAAATTATGTATGTTTCTAACGTAATACAGTACCTATTTATTGCAATACTATCTCGTTTACTATCCATTCATTCTCTGTATAATATAAAGTACTAATAGTTATGTTATATAATACTTTGTCAAAAAAAATAATAAAAAAAAGTTCTAAAATTGATCTTGGCAATCAAAATGTCGTGAAAAATAATATGTTATTTTACCAGGTAATTTTAGGCTTGTAGTTAATGTTAGTATAGTTACACGTTATTTTATGGATTAATATTACGGTAATAAATGTTGATTGTGAACATACTGTACTGTATAGAATATCATCGTGGGCAGTTTAAAAGTTTATTTTTAACTCTAAGTCACTTAATTGATTGTAATATATTATTTACAAAATATAATCTAGATAATGACATGTTTATTTGTCTATTTTTAAATCAATATAATTTAAATAAGCAAAAATATTATTATATTTAGGAAATAGGAAATAATTGTCAAAATACTTACTATTATTTAAGCGACCAAAGCATATTATGGTTGATGTTTTAAAATTTCAATTGTCATACATTAAAATTTACAATAATATTTTAAATCATAATGTATTTTAAATATTATGAAATAGTTACTATGGTAATATTCAAAAATAGTGCTGTACACGGTTGGCATAATTGCAATTAATCAATGCACGTCATTACTTATGATAAAGTTTTATGATTGTAGTTTATTTAACGATTTGTTTTGTTTTATTTCATAACTTACATTAATCTATATATTTAAAATAATAGAGTTTCATAGTTTCAAGTTTTTGAGTTTCACTTCACTTCACTTTGAGTTTGCCCCTGTGTAGTTGGTTAAATGTAAAGCTCTCTTTAACACATATATCGAGTGT